TTTGTGTGCAAAGAAAAGGCATTTGTATCGGGTCCAGTGTTGCACCTGTTTTGTGTAACCTTTTTTTGAGCAGCTGTGAAAAAAACATTGCCTTGAAAATTTCGGACGGTGACAATATTAAGATATTTAGATACGTTGACGATTTCCTCATCCTCAGCCGCTCGGCGGGGCTCCATAGCTGTGAAGTATCTCAGATGCTAGACGTGTTTAAATTGTGTTGCTCCGGGTTGACATTTACGCATCATCATCATCATTTATTAAATCTTGAAGGCCCTTATGGGCATTACACAAGGTGGGGGTATCCTGCTGAAGAAATATTATATAAAGGAACAAACAAAAAGTGGGTTACATACTGGAGAACATTGTTATATAAAGCAGCAAAAACAGAAAAACGCATGAATTGTCAAAAGAAAGTACACTGCAATTCTGGGACCTCGAGCCATCGTTTTGGGGGGATCATGCTTGTTGGAAGTATGCGCCTCGAACAAAGAAGGGCATCCTTCCTTTTTAATTCCGCCCATTCGAAGGTTGTGAAAAGGGGCGTGTTCGTGCCTGGGGGCTTCCCTCAGAAAGTCATGTTGGCAGAGTGCGCAAGGCAGCTTTGAGGGGCAAATAGAGCGCATGCAGAAGGCTGCTTTTCCGCTTAGATCTTTGATTGAGGTGACAGAAAGCTTAAAAAACGATTAAAGGTAATCAAAAATTGAACAGTGATAGACCGACTTCGAGGCCTGTTGTCATTACATATGTGCAGAATGTCACGCACAATCTAAAAATAGCGCTCCTTCTGTCTCCCTCGTCCTTTCTTCCTTGTTGTTTTGCGCTATATATTCTCACGATGGACAATCAACTAGACCGCCAGATCATGTTACTAAAAAAAGGTAGCCCAGCGCTACAATGTTCCGCAGTAAAGTTTGGAGGTGGGCTAGTCGGTGGTGCATTGTAAACATATAAGTAAAGTAGCGCAAGAAACACAAGGACAAGTAGAAGAAGGGCCGCGCGCGAGACAGGTACGCACAAAGCTTTAGGACTCGCGCTGTAGTTTTGCCTTTGCTCAGACCTGAGGTGAAAAAAATGTATAGTTATATATTTCTCTACTATTTACTTTCCTCTTTGATTTTTTTTTTTTTTTTGTAATGGTATACTTTTTGTTAGAAATTCTTTTGATGGCACATTAGTGAAGATGTCCTACATGTTGAATTCTTCTTCTTTTTACTTCCTTGTCTTCTTGTGTGGTTGTGTTTTAAGAGACGAAAAAGAGTAAGTCGTGAGTCAGCGCTGTGTCTGTATCCCTTCTCCTACTTGTCATTGTGTTCGTTTGCGCTGTTTTATTTATATGTTGACTACAATGTTCCGGTAGTTTTTTCAGCACCCAATAAGGTGGCGGGACTTCGTCGCTAGATAAATTATTCACAGCCGTCTTCAGACCCGTGCACTACTAAACACCGAAATAAGCACTTAGTCGAATGCGCTACTGGCGTCGCCTACGAAATCCCTATGGCATATGGGATGACCTACGTGGGCCAGACGGGCAAGTGCGTTAATGATCGCACCCGCGAGCACGCTGCCTCTACAAGAACGACGCCTTCAGGGCATTTTGCAATTCATTGCAATAGATGGTCGTGCACCCCGGCCTTTAAAGACACTAAGATTTTGGCTAGATACAAAGATGAAGTGTCGCGAGAATTACACGAGGCATTTGAAATTAGGACCAGGGAGAAGAAATGTATAAGTGACACGTCCTTATCTTTATCTACAGATGAGTTTGAACTTTTGAAACCTGGGCTGAATAGATAAAATTAACAAGGTTTTTTGGCTATATTAACTCGTCAAATTTCAATAAACTTCAGTTGACAGTGCGCATTGTACTGTTTCCCTTCGTCTGTGTCCCTGTGTTTTTTGGCGCAGTTTTTTGTTTGCAATGAACCAACTGGCCCAACTCTCCACTTCATTGCACATAATATAGGGGGCGTAAAGCTCCCTGAAGTTTGCACCCTACTAACACCCCAATAACAAAAGGTGTTAACCCGCTTAAAACACCCTTTATAACCAAGGGTGCGGCGCCAGCCACAACATACATGAAGGGGGTGTAATATTATTCTAAACTCCATCTGTGGAGGGTAGAGTATTTGGAAGCGTCTATCGAAGCACTGCGCAACTACGAGCTGGTACGCAAAGCGTTTGTGTGCTACAACACCGCCCTTCCCCCAAGCGCAACCGTCGAGAGGGTATTCAGGGTCGCAGCAGATGTTTTCACCAGGAAACGTGGTAAAATGACTGACGAACTTTAAGCGACATCTGCCGTTGAAGCTTAACAAAGTGTGAATGATAAAAATACAAAAATATCACCACTTTGAAATGCATTTTTCATTTCGTGTTAAAAAGTTTAGAAATTAAGACAAAAATAATTATTACATTTTGGTAAAATCACGTTTATGATTCACTAATTGATTGCAGTAATCAGTTATATTTTTTGTCAATAAAGTAATTTTATTTTAAGCAGTTGTCTTTTTTTTTCAGTAACGTTTACAAGACTGCGCACGGGCGCTCTGATTGGCAGCCTAAACGTCAAGCACACCCTCACCCTCTTTCGAGTTGCTTTTTAACAAAATCAACAGCGAGGAGAGGGAGCGCAGCCTCGATGCAGACTCTAATCTTTCCCGCGGTTCTGAGTTCCGACCACCAGTCCCGGAGGGAACGGGGGACGCAGCGGAAAACGCGCGCAATCTTGTATACATGGAGGACGACGAAAGTAATCCCTGGAGAAGGGGAACAAGAGGGACAAAGGACAAACATAAATCTCCAAACACAGCTAGGTGACTGGTGAGCGACCGAAAAAATCCGCCTGGTCGAAAAAATAAGCGAGGGTCGCGAAACGCATCTCCGCGGCCGCGTCTGACACGAGAGTCTGGGTCTCCCTTGAACAAGCCAGGCCTGGGCTGGCTGTTCCGCGGCTCCGCAAGTGGCGCTTCGGGATGCTGCCCTTTTCGCAGCAGCAGTGGCTAGTGGATGTTCAGCACGTAAGCACCCGGTTGCATGGGCAAAGGCAGTCCGCGCGTTGCCGATGAACCAGCGCTGAACTTGTCCTAAAGAAACGGCGTGGGGCGAGGACGAGGAAGAGGCAATCCGGCTGACCCGGATCGTAGGCCCGGGGTCGGAGTTAGTCGCAAGTCCAACTGCCTACAGACTTCGAAGTCCTCCAGCCTTTTTGGCACTTGCTTTCGGGAGACTCTGGCAGATGTCCATTTCGAAAATGGGGGCAGCGGGATGGGTTGTACAACTTGACCGCGCTTCGTCTCAAGCGCTGTCGAGTGTGATTCAAAGGGTTGATTTCTGCGTGTGCTATGCGGCACCTGCATTCGTGTTTGCTGTTTTATGGCAAGTACCCCGTCACGTTGTATTCACGTGTCACGTTCGTTCGTGCGTTGCGTCATCAAAATCCGTGCGATGTGTCGCGTCCCGAGGCCACTTTTCGCTCTCAGAAATCGGGGTGTAGGGGGTACACCCCTTGTCCCATATGTAAAACCCCAAAATAGCAATTCGAAGTTCAGTCCACCCACGTCGAAGGGCGGTACCCACTTTCACGAGCGGCTTGATAGTCAAGCGCTACAACTTACAAAAATAACTAATGTACGTATTGAAGGCTAGAGATAAGACAATCAGGGTGTTTTTAGCCCTGCTGCACAACCTCAGTGTTTTTTTTTTTTTTTTTTTTTGTAGTCATTGGCACGGCACCTTAGCTATCTAGTACGCTATATCCAACAGCTATCAAGCCGCTCACAAAAGTTGGTATCGCCAGCTTGACGTCAGTGAACTGAACGTCGAAATGTAGTTTTGGGTTTTTACATATGGGAGAAGGGGTGTACCTTCCTACACCCCCTATTTCCGAGAGTGTTGGAAATAGTATTGGTTTCTTAGTTTTGCAGACTGGTTGCAATGGTCGTTACAAATAAAGTTTTCCTTGCGCTATTTTGCGATTGTTCATTCCTAAGAGGCATTTTCGGCATTTCCGATATTATCAGAGGTAGATAATTCCAATGAGTAGCCAATCATATTGTGTATAGTATTAAACGAGGGCTCGTTTCCCTGCTAACAGTTTGCCCCAAATGTGTTTCTCGTTTTAACGCTTCGCCTAATATTGTTTCTTCATTTGTCAAACGTTAAGGAGTATGTTCTACAAATATATCAAAAACTCGCGAGGAAACTCCTCAAGAAATCGGAAGAAAGTCACTTGACTTGGACGTGATTTATCTGCGACAAAGAAGCAAAAGCAATATTTGATTAAAGAAAGAAGCTTAGACATTGGGTGGCGAATGTCTTAGACGCACATCAAGAACTCGTCAGGAAACTCAACGAGAAATCTAAAGAAAGTCAAATGCGTTCCATGGGATTTGTCAATAACTTTTTATCAGAAACTCGCGAAAAATATTCATGAGTTTGCTGAGCCCGTCGGTCGTGTGGGAAAACCAATTATTGTCAGCGTACCATACTGTTAACCATATAACATATTGTTAAGCAAATATTGTTAGCATGGGTCTAACAATGTTCCTCCTAAGCTGGGACTGCGGTGGAAGCTGAGTCCTCCTTCGACCAGTCCTCCGCCTCTCTTTCGCCACCGTCATTACGCTCCCGCCCGAGAAGCAGAGAGCCGAGTCAGGCGATAGGGGGAGGAGGCTGATTGGTCCGGCGGGCACGTAGCTCCCACTGTATTCTCAGCTTAAGGGTGAACGAAGTATAGTGCTTTATATGCCACAAACTTTTTGCTCGGTTATTTATTCATTTCAAGGCTCGCTTAAGAGTAAACTAACTGACCTGTACCCTAGTTCAATGTTCTTAACATGCCAATTTTATCTCCAATATAATTTTTCCTCGAAGGTTACACCGAGGTATTTGCATTGGTCTACAAATTTTATGCCGATTTGCAGGCATTAAGCTTTACTTGCAAGCTGCCATACCGCGTCGGGAAAACAAAGAGGGAAAATGAAGGAGCCATTATTTCTCACCAGGTTCTTCTGGCGCGCGATGCCTCCGACGCAGAGTCCCTTCTCAGCGTCGGTCTTGGGGCAGCGGGTGCCGTCGGGTCTGATCTCCTCGAAGCGCCCGTGCACGTCGTTGGTGTGCAGCACCGTCATCGTGAAGTCCGCACCATCGGCGCTAACGACGCCAAGCGCCGCCGCAACCAACAACCAGCACACCGGCGCAGCCATGCTTTCCCAGTTGCAATCTCGATGAGGCGCCGCGTGCTTCAAGCCGGCCGCAACGTCTACGAGCGAACAAACGACGCTTGTGTCGTCGGAGTACGCTGGGAATTCCACGGTCTGCGCTGCCTTCCTGAGCCGACTGGCGAGCGCAGCGAGGGAGGGAGGAGCAGAGGCGATGACGTAACGACGACTGGAACTTCGCTGCCGGCATCGACCAGTCGCCGGTGTCCGCGGCGAGCGGCCAGCGCGGCGACGAGCAGTCGGTCAAGCGCCGCCGGCTATCAGCTGGGCGCAAGGGCGGCCGCTCATACCGGCGTGCACCTGATGACGGCGATAGGCTGCCCTAAACGGGACCTTCGCCCCTTCACGGTCATCGGGTACAGGTACAGACGATGCCTCTTCGCGAGGCAGCGCGCTTTACACAAACAGCGGCGGCAGGTGTTCGCTACAGCGCAAACACGAAGATCCAGTCGGGAGAGGAGAACTCGCCACGGCTGCCTTCACATCGAGAACAACAAACGCCGCGCCTGCGTCCGGGAGGAGAAAGTTACTTTTGACTTCCGGATTTGGATTTTAAAGTGACTTTCTCTATTGGCCAGCCCTACTCTGGATTCTTCCGGCACACCATTTTCAAACCTATATTAGTATATGGCGTGAGTGTACGTCTAGGGATATTTGATACGCTATACGCGCATCTCAATTTATATTAATATGAAATATTGGCAAAAGAACATATATAGAGCCAACTCAAACGAATCGAACCCACTTCAAATGGAACGCCAATATCAGGGTTTTTGATGCTACAACACCCATTTACACAAACGTGCGCCCACAATAATAATGGCCTATGTCCATCTCAAGAAACCGGCCTCACCAAGCGGACGGCGCAGGGGCTCGCATTCCGAAAATGGTATCGCCGCCATGCCCTTCTAGTCTTTGCTTTTCTACTTTCCCCGCTGCATAGGGCTGCAATGCACGTACACCATTGTACATATTCGTTTGGGATGCCCGGCGTCGGCTTGGATTCTCCTCTCATGTGTGTGCTTTATGAGAATGTGTATGTGCTTTACGAGAATGTGTGTGCTTTATGAGAAAAACAAAGACGCCTCTACTCGAGCACTCCGGCTGCTCAGACGTCTCACGTAACATGGAAATAAGTGAACATCCAGTTCGATGGCAAAGAACACGAAACTTCGAGAAACCATCGGCTCGGGGTAGAACGACTGATCAGCATCGAGTGTGTAGGTGGGAAACGAATCTTTGTACCGCTCAAGCTTGTACATAACGTTCCATCGATAATGCATTAAGAGGATCTCAATAGACTTCCTCGGGGAGCAATAGTTTTCTAAAAGTAGTTTTATCCTGGCTGAGAGCCTGTGCAACAAAGTACAGATTAACTGCGGAGAAAAGCCGGCACACAAAAGAAGAAACGACCCACACAAAGACCATGCCGCCGTATCAACTCCCAGCTGTCAAAACGCACCAACGGCGCCAGATACCACGCGGGGTCGAGAGGGTGTTTCCACATCAAATAGTACAATGAAAGTGATATCTTTTTATATTTATGTAAAACGAAAATATATGTCAAAGCCACGTTTATCTGAGGAGCATTCAGGTATATGCAAATGTTGTAGCTAATTTTCTTCCTAGATACGATTTTTCGAGGCTCGGGGCGTGGAGATTGCCAAGGTTTCATTATGGCACCTAGCACAGCTGTCAATTTCACACCGAATCATGCACGTAGTCAAAAGTTTCCTGCCTATTTTATGAAAGGTTTAACATATTCAGAGAGTATTAAATATAGCAATAGAAGGTTTGTATGCTTGAAAATCTACGAAACAGGGGCCACGAGCGGCGAAGAGAGCAGCCCGAAGCGCGGCTCTTCTGGAGTCGACGGGGGCAGAGCTCTGCCTGCGTTTTCGAATCCACAAGGCTACAAGGGTGCACCCCAAGACGGTTGTAGATGCGGACGGCTTTCAGCGAATCCTGACACGCAGACGTGGGAAGGCTGGCTCGTGCAAGGCCGCTAAGTTGCTACGTTGCGTGCCGTGGCTAGACCTCGGAGGAAAACGGCTCTTTTGTATCCAGGCTACATCCTGATTCCTCATGCGATAAACTCGCGGAAATTGCGTCAAGTGCGCTAGGGAGCCCTGATTTCTTTTGTATGAAGCTACCGTCTAAGTACGATACATACACCCTGCTTCATCTGTCTGCCGATGAGGATGAGTATTTGAAGATTGTCCTGACTTGTGGTCGGCGGGTTGCCTTTTTCGGCCATTCCTCGGTCAGCTCAGGCTTGACAATGAGAGTAGTGCTACGAAGTCTATCCAAAAACCAGAGAAAGATTATATCGCCCCTTTATATTTCTAAACATTTATGAGTGAAGTGCCGCCAAAGAAGCGGTTGAGCTAGAAAGTATTTGATTGATGTCCGATCCTGATATTTATATTATAACTGAAACTTGGTTGCGCAGCCAAATATTTGATGTGATGTTTTTCCTTATGGTCACGGACTTCGATGCTATCGAGTGTCGACGGCAAAAAGGAGGGGTGGGGGGGGGGGGGGGGGGGTTGCTTTTTTGGTTAAAGACAGCCTTTCATGCACTTTTATTGAACATGACAAAAGATTTCGAAACGGTTTGGTCTTCCAAAATCATACTTAATAAATAGGAACCAATACGTCTCTTTTCCGAATTTTTATTCGGATAGGCTTTCTATCAAATCGGGTGTTCCCCAGGGTAGCAATTTAGACCCATTGCTATTTACATTATACATAAACAACATTGCGCATGTGGCCAAAAGCGGTGATGTAGAGCTGATAATTTACGCTGATGATACAAGTATTTTTTTCTCCCCTAACAATCTTCGTACTTCTATTGCTACAGTGCATGAAGTGCTCAAACAAAACGCCGCCTGTACGTTTAGCAACAAACTAAAATTAAACTGTAAAAAGACCAAAGCTATTTTGTTTAGGCCCAAAAATAAGAAAATAAATATACTACCTCATCTTACAATAAACAATGAAGAAACTGAGCTCGCAGATTGTATTAAAACTCTGGAAGTGATGTTTTCTCATGATATGAGCTGGAATGCTTACATAGACTATGTGCAAGAAAAAATATCTAAAAATGTAGGCCTACTTACAAAACTTAAAAGTTTACTTCCTGCTTGAATTAAATTAACTATATATAATACATTAACCTGTTCTCACTTAAATTACTGTAACCCGATATAGGGCACTACAACAAAAAGTAATCTGAATATGTGGCATCTATTACAAAAGAAGGCAATACGTGCAATTTCAGGAACTCCATTTCTTCATCCCACTGAATCACTATTTAAATCCCTAAACGTCAAAACCGTCGAGCAAATGTATGCTTACAAGCTTCTGTCAACGTATCACAGGGCTCTTCAGCACAATAATGTTCATTTTATTAAACTAGCCAACCTAAAACACCGCACCATCCTACGCAACCTAAAACAAATGAGCCCTGGATGATTCGCCTAACGAGTACAAATTACCTAAATCAGACACTTCATTTCATATTGTTCACCATGTTAAATAGTTTGTATAGAAAAGGTCGACATTTAGAATCACTATCACATAGGGAATTAAAAGAACTTACTTTTCTATGCGATTTTTTAATACTGCTGATATTTTTCGTTATGAACAGGATGTATTATTCCATGTACGATTGTACCATTGCTTTAATTATTCCAGTTTTTCTTTACTGGCCTGTGTATTTTTCGTCTATATGTTTGCAACAAATCTAGTATTGTATAAATCAGGCTTTTGCATTGGTTTGTACTCGTCTCTGTGAACTCTGTAGTTGTCCAAATTTTAGTTGTCAAATTGTGTTTGAAACTGTCGCGAACTGCACGCGGGCTGGGACCTTTGTCAAGCTGCTCTTTAGCAGCTCTTTGTCCGAGTCCCTGTCGTCATGTAGAATGTGACGACAAATAAACTTGATTTGATTTGATTTGATTTGATTCGTGACGAGACAATGCTTGTTGGAGGATACACCTATTCGATTTTTTAAACCAAAATTAAGCACTTTCGTACAATACTGGTTGGTGATTTTAATTTGCCAAATATAGACTGGGAAAGCGTGATACCCAAAGGGAACTGCGAACATTCCCGATTTCTTCTTGATATTGCTTTTAGCAACATTTTAAGTAAATTAGTCAAAAGTCTCACTCGCACGTCAGATGATTGCTAGTCGCTACTTATCTTGTATTCATATCTGAGATTGTTAACAAAGGTGCACCTGTTGTGTCAATTGCAGAAGGCATATCTGACCATGCACTATTTGCCTACGACTTTTCTGCTCTGAAGTATGTGGACGTAGAAAAAAAAAGAGATACGCTATCGTGATTTCACCCGAGCAAACGATATCAGTATTCTTCTTGGAAATGGCTCTCGATAGGTTTCTTGCTCTTTCCGATATGAGCGGGGAGTCGGTAGATTAGCTGTGTATTTTAGGGTCGTTTTTTTTTATGTGTCGACAAGTCGTCTTTGAGATATCAGTCAAAAGAGAAAAACACATTTCGTGGGTGAAGCGTGATGATTGTGGGAGCCACAGGTTTCCCTCCCCCGAGAAGGCGTAAGCCGCGGACGTTCCGCCCGTAGTCGTCTGGCTTCGAGCCTGCTCACTCCGTATCGTGTCGGGAAGAGAACGCCAGCATGATGGCCTACCCTCTAGCACTCCTTCATGCGTCTACCGTTTTCGGGGGACCAGCGAGGTCGCGCGGGACAGTTGGGGCTGCCCGCAAGTGGACGGCGATCTGGTCAAAGAGTGCTGGATTGGACTCCGGCCGACCGGTCGAGTCGCCGCATACGAGCTCGTCCGACGGGCGATCACTCAACGCTAGCGTTCCCCTGGCTCTTACAGTCAGCGTCCCCTTTTCCGAGTGGACGTCCGTCTGCCAAAAGCCCTGACCCGAACTTCTGCGACGGCGGGTAGAGGCGTGAGCTCAGCCCACCGGAGATGACTCCGCTCGCGATCCCCTTCGGCTCACAGGTCGGCGGGCGCTGCGGGCACTCCGTGTCCATGGCTCGCTTGACTGAAGTGTCTTGTTGGGGACCCCTGTTTCCCAATAAAGGTTGTTGGATACCTGTATCATCTGCCAAGAGACAGGAGCCCGGTGTCCCGCTTCGCAGCATTATTTCCGAAAACGGATGCTGGGAGAAGAACTTAGCCACTTACCTTCTCGGAAACTTGTCGTCACTGACACTTTCCCAGTCTTTCCGTGTTAGTAACTCCACTGAGTTGCTAATCTATCTTGAGACCTTGCATGACTCCCCTACACTACTAGCCCTGTTTTCGTTGGACATAGAGGACATGTTCTACAGTCTAGATAACAAGTATCTACTCGACTCTGTGAGCAACGCTATTCACAAACATGGAGCCTACAAATTTCAGAATTTGTGGGAAGTATACCTGCTAGCGGGTTCATTTCTCTTCTGGAGTTTTACCTTCGCTCGACACTTGTCGAGTACGAGAGAAACGTTTACACTCAGAGG